TCATCCACACCAACAGCCACATCCGCTCACACCCTCACCCACACCCAGACCCTTAGAAACTTCATGAAAGAAAATTTTTTCTGCTAAATCTTTTTACACATATCATATGACTAATGAAACATTTACATTTCAGTATGAATCTTACGTGTTTAGCTTCAAAGAAATTTCTCTGATTTGTACGTGTTCATGAAGTAGTTTTCTTTCTTATTTCTCCTAAGCAGGCTAGCGATAGACATACATTTATGTCATGCACGTTCATAAGCATCGGAAGAGAGTGAGGAGGAGGATTATTTATAATCGTCGATTAAATATGATTACTTGAGAGTCAGAAACAAAATTTATTTCATAGGCAGAGTGAATAGGAATGCTTCGACGACGTTCAATTACAATTAATCGTACGATAAAACAGAACTATCATAATGCAAAAATTAAATCCGAATCCAATTACCATGCATGGATAAAGTTAACTTTATCGGCCTTAATTCCATTAATGATTGCTATATTTACGATAGTTACTACAATTTTACAACAAAAACTTTCTACGCAACAGCGAGAACAAGAGAAACAAGATTCACTTTTATTAAGGCAACAAACAGAACGTCAAGAAGATAATTTACAAAAAGAAAACATATTTGCAACATATCTCGATGATGTTTCGAAACTTTTATTATTAGAAAACCAAACAAATAGTTTGATCCATATTCGAATGAAAACATTGTCAGCTCTTCGGCAGTTGGATCCGACGAGAAGAAAATATTTATTTTTGTTTCTTTATGAGAGTGGATTGATTTATCGTTATCCAGAACAGCCATATGTGTCTTTGTTAAAATTAATTGACGCTGATTTTAATGGAATTTATTTTGAAGGAACTATTGAAACTAAATGTTCACTAATACATCTTTATTTATATGGTGTTTATTTATCGAATTCATCATTTATTCATTGTTACATTGATTATTCGAATTTTTCAAGTGCCACTATGTATAAGACATTATTTTTAAATACACTTGTAATGCGAACATCGTTTAAATTCACATTTTTGGATCAAGCTAATTTCAGTAATACAAAGATTTCCGACACGACTTTTAAAGGAGCATCATTGATTGAATGTGATTTTACTGGTGCTCGTTGGAAAGAAAACGATGTTGATTTTATAAATGCAAATCTATCAGGAGCAATGATATCCGATGAGCAGTTGCGTAATTCTACATTATATAATTGTATTCTGCCTAATGGAACATGGGGACCTATTCGAACGAATAATCTTGTCGTGAACGGTGATGCCGAGAAGAATGTAAGTTTTAATTTGGTCTTTTGCATTTGCTAATTCGGCAGTCATTCAGCTTGTCCCAATCTTTTTATTACATTTACTTTTCACACAAAAGTTATTATCAGTCGGTAAATGTACATCAATTATAAATATTGTATTTTGAAACTATTCTATATGTACATAAGCGCCTACTTATTATATCATCAACAAATTACGTGCACTACCGGGCCTCGCGTGAAACAGGATGGGACGTCCCATTCCACAGTCTTTTCCTGCAAGGTAGTCGTGATAAATTCATTGAGCCATTCGAGTAAGCCTCTTTTAGAGGGCATGATAAATTCCTATTTCCAAGAAGTTCAAATTTCAGCACATCACCGTATAATCCATGATATAAGCTACACAAAATCGCTGCAACAGTCTGGATTAAAAGTTTATGAACTATGGTTCAAATTCATTTTTACTCGTTCAGATAAAGGAATACAGTCATACCTGGCCATTAGATTGCTAAGGAAATTCACTTTTATATGAAAATAATATACAGATTATGCTTTTATTTTTTAAGGTTCGGTTGGGTTGGGTTAGGAAATTCATTTTAGTATGAAGATAAGATCTGGAGGCGAAGGTTGAGGTGAATCCGTAACTCTCACCTCATTCACCGTCATGCTCACCATCATCCCTCATCCTAAAGATATCATCTTCATGTTAAAATGAATTTTCTAACTCAACCCAACTCCAAAAATATAGATATCATTTTCATACTAAAATGAGTTTTCTACAGATATTTCTCGGAGCATTGAATTGAATTTCCATAAAATTTGCTCATAACCATTTAATTTGAATTTCCAGCAAATAGAAACTTACCATGATATGGTCTGTTACATAATCTTCATTCTCAGCTCTTTTTTTGAAAATTTTATATACGGTTCTTCCGGGGTGTCTTTTGATGAAAAACAATTTTTTGCCGAAATATATACCATTCGACTCAGATTCCGGTGCTGAACTCGGTTCTAATGTTGAAATTTTCTTTCAACGATTGCTTTTCATGCAAATGGGCTAAACTGAGCCTGACACTCATCGAAAACAGGATGTTTATCAGATAAATGTGAAGGATTCCACATTTGCATAAATTTAAAACTTTTTGAATAAGTAGAGTTTGTAGAAGGAATATTGATACAGATTTTGAGAAAGTTTCATGGATGGACTATTTCTTGTCGTGGAGAAAAAGTCGTTACATCATCAAAAGGCTACTTGCACTGACGCCATTTTTACCACACTATGAGCCATATATTTCTCAGTAGAGAAAGAGAAATTATCAAGTGTATATATGCATTTTGTCGAGCGAAGAGAAGTGCATCTAATCACATTATTCAATGTCAAAAATATTTATGTTGAGAAGAATTTCATTCATCTCAATCTTCAGCTATATACGTGTACGTATCTCCAGTACACAAGTCGGTGAGTCATATTGACTTCTGGTGAAAGATAAAAGTCAAATTTACCACGCTAAAATATGCAAAACAACATGTTCTTTTATGCAGTGTACATTTAAAATACTTTGAGGTAGTGGCAGATTTCTACTCTTACTGTGCGGATCCTTTCATACATTTGAATTAGGAATAGGTGTCTCTTGGAATTGCATAAGAAAGAATATCGTTTGCATTGCTCTTGTAGTACAGAAGTGTCAAATAAAAATTCTAAACCTTAAGGGATATGTTAATTTTATTTTTTCAATGGAATAAATGAAGGGAATGCAATTTTGCAATACATATAGCGCATCTTCCACCATGATCACCAATAGAAAAAAAATCAACCATTGTTGATTATCATGAATATGTTTGTCTAATATCATTCCATTTTAGTGTAGAACGAATGGTACAAGCATATTGATTGGTTGGAATATTGCAAACGGTGGAGATATAAAAGTGTTTCCATATAGTAATCAAAATCAAACAGAAAATTTCGGTAAATGTTATTTCCGAGTAACCCTATTTAACACATCGAGGAGTGTTGTATCTGCAAGTCAATTTGTGAATTTGGAGAATTTCTCTCTATGGTTTTCAACGAATAATGCTCGTTATCAAGCATCGGCCAATTTCCAATGTTTCGGTCAGCAATATGCCTATTTAGAGTTACGCTTCACTGATTTGAGTGGCCTTGTATATAAAGGAGTCATTGATGGTGAAATATAACCAGAAAATTTGCATTTTATATCTTTTATCTTTATTTTTTTATTTGCTAGGAACTCGCAGTGGAACACATGTCCAGTCTGTAAAAATTTCAGATACTGTGCGTTCTGATGTTCGTAGTGTTCATATTCTGATCGCATTTGTAGCTACAAGAAACAGTCATGTTAGTAATGCAACTATTAATGAACACTATTGTCTATGCGATAATGTCCAATTTTCAATTATAAAAGCGTGATACATACTGTGAAATGATGAATATAATTGAAATGTTATTTTAATGTAGAATCGAAGTCATATTTTCAACAAACGAATTTTTTCAAATTAGTGCAGCTCTTTATCTTCTTTTTACAGTCGAAAGAACAATTTCTGAATTTAAAATCTAGTCTTTGAACAGATGGGTGTGGCTAGGGTGTGGGGTGGGTGGGTGGGTGTGGGTGTGCGTGTGGGTGTAGATCTGTTATTCATTCCCACCCACACCCACACATCCACACCCACGCCCACACCAACCCCACACCCACACCCACCCACACACCCACACCAACCCCACACCCACACCCACACACCCACACACACACCCACACCCACACCAACACCCACACCCCACACCCACACCCACACCCACACTATCACACTATTTTATAGATGCAGTAGACAATAAGAAAACACGTCGTTTCTGCTTGTTAGGCCTGATAACATGCGTTTATTTGTGAGCTTATTTTCTTGACGGTTAACACGTACCTCATGGACAAAAACTAGTTTAGTTCGCTTTTTCTATATCAACCTAGAATGCTATTTGTGAATTGACCTTCAGCCACATGAAATTTTTGTGGGCTCCTAATACAAACGATTTGAAGTGCAATCTTATTGGTGCATAATTAGGAACTAAATGAATAATCATCTCAGTTATACAAAGTTCTATAATTATCTTTTAAATAATTCAAACCTATTGAAACAAATTCAGTCTTGAGAAAAATATGGCCATG